GGCATTAGTGTTATCACTATGCACTAATAGGAGAAAACCAAATGAACTGATACTCCGGGATCTGCAACTTGCCCAAACTGCAAATTTTATGTGAAATCTTTTTGTTGAACACCTTTGCCATTTGACACTGCAAGAGGGAGGAAAATGAAGAAAGAGTCAATGTTCTCTCCTACTGGGGACAGATTTCGCAGTATGAGTTTCTTGCTTGTTTATCTTTAATTCTTTAGCAGCTTCTCAGAAGCTTGGAGCACGAGTTGTTCTGCGGTCCAGCAGTATGTTGTTAAATTGATGTAATTACAAGTGTGTCATAGTGCTGATTTAATTGGAAAGCTAGACCCATATGTGACAAAACAGTGCGTTGTAAAAAAGAATAGCAAGAAGATAGCAACACCGTGGAGTGTCTGACTGCGGAAAACGCTTTCATAGTGTGCTTAAAAAGGATTCTTCCAATGCCCGCTGGGCACAGAAAAGCACCTTCCCCGCCCCCCAGCCAAATGGAATGAAATCCTTATGAAAAGAAGGGTTAACTAGTTGTCCTGACTGCAGGAGCTGAAAGTGCAGCCACAAAAATAGGATTTCTGGAAGTGTGTTTCTATGGAGCGCTGTGGTTGGAGGGATGTGTTATTAATTCCGTTGGTGATTTGGGAAGCTCTTGCTCTTTTAAAAGTGGTTCAGAACATGTCCTTGTTACCTGCTCCCTCAGGAAGTGATTCTGCTACTGCTGTCGTACAGCATTAATGAAATGGGGACTTTTAGCTCGGAAAGCGCTGGATTTGTGCCTTACTTTGCTAGCCTTGCTAAGCGGTCTGCAGACATCCGAGTGCTGGGCAGAATTAAGATAAAATGCTTCTGTTTCTTGCTTTTTTGTTTGTTTCCTTTCTAATGAGCAGACCCCGTGACTGCAGTTTGCTGAGGGAGGATAGATGGATAACCAGCAGTGAGTGCTCAGGGTTGTTCTTTCGTTAGAGTTAACAGTCCTCACGATCCTGCTTCTCTACTTCAGAAAGGCAAACTCCTGGTTTTTCTTAGGGCTGCACTCGGATGGATCCCGCTTAGCACATTCCCGTGGGTGGGTTAAAAGGCATCCGCTTGCGCCAAGGCTGACCTGCCGCCGAGCCGCCTGGCGGGAGCCGCACCGGAATGAGATGTGAAGGGCATGAAACCGAGACACAACCGAGACCGTGGCCATGGACACCACAGAGTTACCCGATAGGAATGTGCTGTGTGCTTATTAAAAATTAAAAACGCCTTCCAGAGGGTGCTGAACACTGAAGGTGGCTGTTTCCATGGGCCCCGATGCTTTTCCATCTCTCACTTGTGGCGCTGTGTGACTGGGCGTGCGAGACATGGGCCTGTCTGCGGCGGATCTCTGGGCCACAGCGGGCTGTGAGCCCTCGGGGCTGGGCTGCACAAAGGTGCCTGCTCGGCTCTGATCAGTAGTTACAAGGCTAAGAGTATCGGTGTGGTTGCTGATCCAGCAGGAGAATCGAAATAAAACGACTTTTCCCTAGCAGCGAGAGCAGTGTTTCTACCACAACCATACACCCAGATCCTGTTAATGCCAGACTACGTGATAATGCAGTCAGTTTGGCATCGCAGAATGGCACGCTTTGTAGGTAGCTAATATATTTATATACATACATATACTTCAGGGTATTTTCTTTAAGAATTGGTGAATGAGCACACTATTTTGGTTCTTAGCTTACGTCACTGCAAGTCACCATCAAGTCACTAGACTTGAAATCATCCACTAGATGGATGATTTCACGTATTTATAGCATTTCTGTATATTTTTGTGTGTGTATATACATGTACACACATGCATATGTATGTGTGTATATATATGCAGACATTTACATATATGTAAATGACTGTTCTTCCTGCTGTTGTGACTCCAGGCAGTTTTGTCACCGCTGCTCCTGCCGCTGCTTGCCCTGTCGCCTGAGGCAGGTGTGTGATGCTCGGCCCACACTTCTGCCTGGTTAGAGAGCCTGGAGCGTTTGTCATATGAGGAAAGACTAAGTGAGCTGGGCCTGTTTAGTCTGGAATAAAAAAGGCTGAGAGGAGATTTGATCAAACATGTTCAAGTATCTAAGGGGTGATGGTAGGGAGGATGGGGCCAGGCTCTTCTCTGTGGCGGCCGGTGACAGGACGAGGGGTAACGGGTATAAGTTACACCTCCACAGGAAGTCTCAGAAACCCGACTGGATGCCACCCTGTGCCACGTGCTCTGGGTGTCTCTGCTGGAGCAGGGGGGGTTGGACTATATGGTCTCTAGAGGTCCCTTCCAACCCTAAGGATTCTGTGATGCAAATTTAGTCGGCGGACTTGGATCCCGACGCTAGCTCCCTTGTCCCTCGTTCCCACGGCACAGCCGTTCCTGCCGCTCCTCTCGGTTCCCCGTGGCCGCTGCTCCTGTCCCGGCAGCGTCCGTCCCTGCCGGTGTCTGACCCCTCAGAGCAAGCCCAGTGCCCCAGGCTTCGTTTGGGACAGCAAATACTCCCCCCAGAAGTTCTCGTTGGCCGCCTCTGAATCTGAGCGTTGATGTTTTAGCGTAGAATTATTTCTGAGCTTATTGAATATAGCTCTGGAGAGTTCCTAGGTTACTAGCATCTTTTTAGGTTGGCACATGCAGACACGTTCTGTTGTAATGAAGGCCATGCACTGAACTTTCCCCAGACTTTTTCCAAAACTCTTAGGGTATTTTATATGAGCCTCAAGGTGAGCAAAGCCTAAAACGTGTAAAGATCTAGAGATTTAATCGTGATCTTTTTCTTGGTCACACTGTAGCCTTGAAGGAAAATTTCACTCAATCCTGAGGACAGGAGCAACCTTGAAAGGGCAGTTGAGGAGTTTGTTTGTGATTAGATAGGACTGTCAATCACGACCAAGGCCTAAAAATAAATGATCTTCCCCATTTAAGCTTGGAGGTGGTTATCTAGTTATTTTCAGAAATGTCCGAAGGTGGATGGACAGGTAATTCTCGAACTGCAGACCAGCCCTGATTGCTTGAGAGGGCACGTGCTGTCTTGAAAGCCATCCCAGAACAGGCAAGTGCAAAGGGCCCTTGGAAAATCCCCGTGTAGCGAAACCCGGGCGGCCGCGAGGGCTGTAAGGGGCCGCCCGGGGCCCTCTCCTGGTGCGGGATCCGCGACGGGGGCCGTTTGCCGGCGTGAAACCGTTTCAGTCATTCAGCTGGGGAATCCGGAGGGGAAGTCACTTCCTCTTCTAAAATCAAATCCAGATATTCCCCAATGGTAGGTAAAATCTAAAATACGCTATTTACCTAGAAAATAAACTCCCAGTATGGAATAAAAGCTAATACCTAGCACTTCCCTATTACTCATTTAAGAAAACACTGCAAGTGCTGTTTTTTTTTTTTTAATATATATATTTCTTTTTTTTTCCCTTAATTTTTAGGCTGTGGGAAGAAAGACAAGTTGCCCCCCGTATTTCTGTTGCCTTTGGGTGGCTGTTGGCAGCTGTGGCACCGTGTGCTGAAGCTGCTGTTGGTTTTGCCCCTAAACTGTCAAGAAGTGTCTGCTGAAAGGAGCAGGTGGTGTATTAAGTATAGGAGTCTAAATAATAATAAAAGCAGAAGCAGAATGAAAACTTACTCAAATTAGCGTGTGCATACGTGTATATATATATATATATGAGTATATATTTTTTCCCCAGTCACTGCAGAAAGTACTTTATCAAAACTCAATCTCCCCTTACTTTTTCTTTATATCTTTTTCCTGGCACCGGTTTGTTTTTCTGTCACTGGAAACTTTTTATGAGTAAAAAGACCGGCAGCTTTTTGCTTGGTTTCTGAAGGCGGTTTCTCCCCATCACCTGTGTTTTGGGGAGGGTTTTTCTAAAAGCAAAAATAAAACGTGCTTTCCTAGGCGGTTAAACTACTGTTCTGATGCATTGACTCCTGCAGGTGTTAGATAAGGGTCTCGTGTCCCATCTTGCTGCTGGACAGGCTGCGTCATAGGGAGGTTTTTCCCATTTTCCGCAGTGTGTTAGGTGGGGTCTTGGCTTCCCTGAAGTCACTGGAAAACGTGTCTGTAACGGACTTGAATTCCAGTTTGGGATGAGTCACGCTGGAAGTTGCCGAGTTGCCAGCCTGCCCGTAGCGTGTTGCTTGTAAACTAAAAAATGCGTTTTGCTGCTTGAATGTAAGAATTTTTAAAAGTTGTGAATGAGATCTAGTGCTTAGTTGCCTACAACAAGGGAACATCTACTATTAAATAAACTAATGATAATATTTGCATTGCAGAGGCTTAAAGTGTTTCATTCCTTTCTCATACTCTATCTTGGATTATAATAGATTTTGGTCTATTAAGAGAAAATATTTGCATGCGCAATGATGTGTCAGAATATTCCTTTATTTCCTGTAACTTTATTTTTCAGCCTACACGTCGGATTTTTTTAGTATTTTAGGAAACCTTTTGATGTTGAAATACTAATTTTAACACTTCAAATTGCAGTGGCTGCTTGGAGTTTAGACTATTCTTTCTAATCTGCACTAGCCCATAAATTGTTCATTAGAAAACAGAAGATAAAATGAATTGTGTTATTTCAGCCCTGTCAGTTATTAGCGGTATCAGGAATAGGGTGTTTTGAGCTTGCCAGGTTGGTGTTACTTACGTCAACAAGAAGTGGAAGAGAAAATCGGCAGAAGTTATATGACCTGAAAAACAATAGTAGTAAAATGCGCATTTCACAAGAGCAGAGATACCGTTTTCATTCTACTGCAAAAATGGTGAGGGAGAAGATTTTTGAATTTGGTCTAATTCTCCAAGTAGGGGTTTTTAAAACCACAAATGCCGTGACATTTAGGCTGAGTTTTAGCCAGCCTGCGGAGTCCGCGCAGCTCTTCTCTCTGCTCGTCTCCCTTCCAGGGAAATGGCTTAGGGAGGTGCTCGGATCTTGACAGCTTCAGAGCAGGATGATTTGGGTGGCATAAAAAAAATGGCTTAGGTTTCTGGTCCAAGCTGGTCTCTGTTTTATTTTTCAGGGTTTCTTCTTAATACAAAACGGTGAAGATGACCCCGAAACATGAAAAACAAGTAAGTGATGCTTAAGCTTTAATAAGGAAGGATTCTAGTCTGATGGTTGTGGAGTGAATTCACTGAGGGGAAGTTTTAATGTGACAAATGTAAGATGACAGTTACTGGTCACAGCAAAATCATAACATCTCATAACCTCTTCCAGTAGCTGCACACAGAAGCTTTCCCCAGAATTACTCACTTTCTCCTCTCTAGCAGCCTGCACCTGAAGTCAAAATGGCCATTAACTTTGGAACATCTCCACTTAAAAATGCAGTGTAGTCTCCAGAGCACTCAAAGGAGCTTGATTAGGATGTGTTGTGTTACAGAGGTGCTACACTGGGAGCCTTTAGCACTGTGTGATGTCCTGCCTTGGAGTAAATACCGATAATTTCATAGTGAGGCCATGTTATATTTCTGGCGATATCCCAATCCCTAGTGTAGTCCATGGTCATCGCAAAATAGAAATGAAAGAAGAAATTTCAGGGGCTGACGTTTGGTTTGCAAGGTATATGCCACTTCCAAGATGGGTGTTTTGAAAATGCCACTTTCATATGGTCTCAATCCCATGGTATGATGCTTCAAGATGATCCGGTTGCCTTTAGATACACAAATCCATGATATTACTGGTTGCTGCCTTTATTTTTGTTTGGTTGTTTAAGTGCTTAGGCAGTGCCAACTGTCTGAATGTCACAGCATTTTAGTAGTTGACATAGACATCCCAAAGAAGATCCTGTAAAACCCTTTAAGTCTTGTTTTTTTGGCATTACTAGGTCAGGATGCCTCTGCCTATCAAGGAGAACCTCTGGCACAAGATGACAGTGTCTTGAAAGCTACTGTGTTCTGTTCTGTAGTAAAAAGACCCGAGACTTAATAGATTTCTTTAAAGAACAAGCAAAACAGTCATTTTAATGACTATTAGTAGTAACTAAGATTGTATCAATATTTGAGCTATTTTCTGCAAGTTTTGCAACCTGAACTTTGTATTTGGTAAAAGTGGTAGAAGCCTTTTGTTTGTGCCATTACTGTATCTGCTGTCATGGCTGGAGCAAGACCAATGTGCAGGTAAAAGTTTTCTAGATCTCTGTTTTCAGATGTGTTGATAATGGTATTTTGCTGTTGTTACCAAAGCTGCAAACCATTTCATTGATGCATTACATTAAGGTAAGCTCACAGAAGCATTCAGGCACATTAATTTGCAATTAAGGTACCTGTGGATGAGTTTTCAAACTCAATTTAACTTGCTAACATCAATGTTAGTATTCTGTATTAATATTAGGAGTTCGACTTTAAGCACAAACAACATGGAAAATGGGTTAATATGACTGAAAAGCAAACCCTGCAGGCAGTTTTGAGGAGGAATTCTTTTGACATGTGCAACTGTTGTTGTGGTTCATGTCCTCAAGAGCCACAGTGACATTTTGTCATCCTCTTTGTGTGTGTGTGTGTGTATGTGCTGAGTGGATTGTTTGGTAAGTTTATTTTTAGTCAAGTATTAATAAAACATTTCTTAACAATTCTCAGTGTGCATTGCTTGGCTCCGGGGTTTGCTAGTGTGTGTCCTGGACTGGAAGTCAGTGTGAGGATGGGAAGAAATGCAAACAGGTGAACTCGCCAGCACACGTGGATGAGCTGCCCCATGTTCCGTGGGGAGGTTGCTGGGACTCCGGCTCTTCTTCCACTGCAGCTGACCCAGCAGGGAGGACCTGCCGTGTGCTGCTTATGGTAGCTCAAACCAAGCTCGGTTATACTGGGGCTAAGCAGTTATTGAGTTAGCAGAGAATTTCCCTATGATCTAATTATTGCAACATGGGAAACCCTCATGCTTGACGTAAACCAGATAAGAAAGCAGCGCTTAAAGTGACATGGTTAAACGCCTGAGGACCTCTGCCTTACGAGAGCAGCAACTGCTGGAGAGTCAGTTTTCCACTGCTGCCACCAGTGAAATCAGAAGAACACATGAACAGAGTGTGGAACACTGACATTTTAAATGTCAGAAGGAGGGGTAGAGCTCATAGAAGGGCTGGGGTGCTCGGGTCTCCTTGGATTCCTTCAGTTGCTTCCAAAACGCAGTCTCCAGCCTCCCCGTCATTGCTCCGTGTGACTGGCAGTAGCTCCCTTCAGAAACGCCCAGGTCTCCTTGAGGAAGGGGATTTAGGGAGCACCGGGCAGTCTTCACTGGCAAACCTGGATGCTGCGGAGTTGTGCTTTCCCCATCTCTCCTGCATAGCTATACCAGGCAAGTATACTCATAATAAACCTCCTGTTACACATTGCATAAACCAGTGGCAAAGAAATGAGGGACATCTTTTATCACTTTGCGTTTATTGACCTGGAGTGCTGGCTTGGAGCAGTGGCTTGGGCCAGAATACTGTATTTTGCTGCATTCTTCACACTTTAATTGCCAAGCTACAGAATATTCTGGAGTGATGCAATGCCAGCTCCTCCTAATCAAATATTTTCCTCTGGGCTGAGCCCCGTGTCACTGGTGATTGATCCCTTGGCTAAGAAGCAATCTGATGGGAAGTTCTCTCTCTTTTTTTTTTTCTTTTTTTTTTTTTCCCCTTCCTCTCTAAGGACACTTTGTGGAAAATGACTCTTGGGGCCATTGACTAATCAAATGTGTAAGCTTGGTAATGGTGGAGCATGAGTTTATCACCTGATACTGTCCTGAGGATGGAGATCTGAAATAAAACACAGCTGGAATAGATGAAGCAAATGGTCATCTAGTGCAACAATGTTTTTTTCCTCTCTCATGCTAGATTTTTCCCGTATTAAAAATAGATGTTTCCATGTAAGATTGCCTGTTTTCCTAGCAGAGGAATGTTAAAAATAACGTTCTCCGTTTTTGCAGTCAGTCAGTGTAACAGGACCTCCGGCCTGTCCTTGTCTCCAAGCAGTCCTTGCATCGTCAAGAAACGGTACCTGGGGAAACCCCATCTTTGCTCCAGCTGCTTTTATGATGTGCTGCTGCTCCTGGGGCAGTTCCCCGTGGGAATGTCCCAGCCCTCGGCGCCTGTGTCGACAGCAGCCGCAGAGCTGCCCTTTCCCTCCGCTCTCCGCAGCGGTGTCCCCTGAACAGCCCTAGAGCGGTACCAGCGCCGGGGCTGCCCCGCTGCCGCGCGCGGCGCGGGCTGCTCTCATGGCCCCGGCCTCCAGGACAGGCCAGCGAAGGCCGCGGCCGGGGTGTAGGAGAAACAGCTGGTTTTCCTCAGCTACCAAGAGGGTTTCTTGTTAAATTCCAGTTTGGGGGCGGACCTGCCATCGCTCGTGAGGATGTTTGGGCCAATGTGACTGCTGGAGTTCGGGTCAAAGCTACAGGAGTTGCAGGTCGGGTTTTGCTTGTGAATTAGCAGCTTCCAGCGAGAAAGAACGTTGCCTTCGGTAACTCTGTGTTGGGTCTGTGTAGTTTGCAGTGCATAAACCTCCGCTACTAGGTGCATTAGTACCTGGTGTAATAGCTAGATCTGCAGTTGTGCCTGTGTGTGGGGAAACTTGGTGGAGGCAAGAAGACCATGACTTGAAAGTGATTTCTTCTCACAAGTAAAACTTCCTTGAAACTTTGGTTTTGGACATTACTAAGCCTGGGGACTTTTGCTCTCGTGGGGTTCTGCTTTGGGCTTGCGAAGTTCGCAGTCTGGTGACAGAGGATGATGCTGGTCTGCATGAGGTCTGTGAGAGGAGGGGGGCAGCTTCCCCTGTCATGGGCACACGCTGGATTACTTGAAGGCAGACATGCCTGTTGACCATATTGCGTTTTTTTTTTTATGGAAAAAAAA